TTGACACCGTCTTGATCAGAATCTATACAATCAATCCTGCCCGCGTCACCACCGTTCACTTTAAGTGGCCACTGGCTGCATGGTTCCTTAGTTCCTTAAATCGACCTGCCTATGGAAGTCACGGATGCGCCAACCATGTTGCTCAGATTCACGTTGTGTGTATTATAGTAGCGTACGACACACCTTTAGTCGTTCTGCCTTCCAAGTGTATTGACGGTCCCGCAATACTCATTCTTGAGCTAACCATAAAGCGTGGATTGCACTTCTGCAAACCTGCTCAGCACGTTCTCAAAATACACTAGCTGAATGCGCACGCCACATCCCAGTCTACCTAATCTCGCTCTAAAATCGACATGTATGCTTTCACCCAACCGATGCACTTAACACTTGACAAATAGGCCTGTTGCAAAGTCTACTTCATGAGTTCCCTAGATGCATCTGCCACGTCCGACGCCGACAACGCTCTATCCAAGTCGAAGCCGCTGTTGCTCCCATGCACTTTTTGACCATAGCAAGAAGAGTCACCGTCACGAACTTACACTACCACCAGACACATTTTGATTGATTGCTCAATCACAGACCGTACTCTAGTCATTTGCCACCCTTCGATCTCTTGGCCGGTGGCTCGGTACCCTCTTCCTGTACGGACTGCTGGTTCCGCTTCGTCGACCGCTGACTCTTCCGTAGGCCCGGGTCCTGGTGGCCGTTGGCAGTCTGAGGCGACCGACCGTTGCCCGTGTCTGCAGCCGGTCCTGCCCCCGGTTCCTGGTTCTCGTTGCTCGGGCCCCGGTCCTGTGCCTCGCTCATCTCTTCGACATTTCCGGCGACATCATCGTTCCTGCGCAACAAGGCCAAAGTGGTTCCCCATCTCCGGCCAGCTTTGCAACACTGAGTAGCACTTGGGCTGCTCACCAAGAGCCCAACGTCCCTGCCAACGACGCCAATCGATATCTAGAAACCGAAGACAGGCAAACAGACTACGATTCACGTCGACGTTCCCTCCTTGAGCTGGAAGCATGCAGAAAACCCTCGAAAATGATCGGCCAGGAAACAAACCCTGTTTCGTCTTCCCATCGTACATTCGAGGATATTGCCTGTTGTAAAAGTGTTCAGCGCTTCAAACAAGTACGCGCAGCCGTCCCGTTTGAAGCCCCCACCTGTGAGCGCCCGGGCCTGAAGGAGGAGGCCGGCGGACACCACCAGGCCAGAACTCCTCGATGCCCAGATTGTTGCCAAAGCAGCGCTCAAGCGCCCCAATCAGCTTCTCCCTGTCCTCAGCGGACTCCGGGACCTTCTTGCAGAACACTGGTCCTCGTTCACGCATCTGCTTGCTCGGTGGCGCGCCCGGATAGTCTGCATTGGCGGCCAGGTAGATTCTTCAAACTGATCGCGATTGTGCTGCTCTTCGAACGAGCAACCTCAAACCTCTTCTGATTTCGAACGAGCGATTCCAGACCTCTTATGGAGTCCAAAGGTATGATCACTTTGTTGCACTTTGAGGCAGGGCGTCTGAAGGTGGGTTCATGAGCGAAAAGAAACTGGTTAGACAGATAGGATCTTTCAGACCAAAAAGAGAGACAAATAGTGCAACGTAACGAACCCCGCCACTGATTTCAATGCAGTGAAAACGGAACAAGTAATGTCGGTTATTCCACCAGACTGCTCAAACTCACTTGGCACGACCTCGTGATCCTCGATGACGCGCCCGAAGACGCCCTCTTCGATGTTGACGACGTACTCCACGACTCGCCGCGTGTACTCGATTGGGGACAGGTCGCGGCCCAGATCAGCGCCGAGGTCCTTCCGCGCCTGGAGCTCCTCGCCGGATGCGAATGGGGTAGCCTTGTTGATCGTCGTGATGGGCAGCTTCTCAGCGGCAGCAAACTTCTTGAGCATCTTCACGGCGGATTTCGCCAGCGGTGGCTGCAAGAGGAACGACAACTGCAACGTGAGACAGATTGCTTGTTCGCAAAAGATTATTCCCACTCCGCTTATCTTTCAACGTGCCTTTGCGGTCTCCATGCTCATTTCCTGGGCTCCTGCTTTTCATAGCGCCAATCTGCACGAGCATTGTCAACATCAGTGACAGCAACGTTAGGGCCGTTCCGAGTCCTTGAACGGCTTGGCCGTCCTTGCCGAGGCTGGTTGGGAGCTGATTCTTGAGTTTCTTACGCGCTAAGCCTTCCAAAAGCTATCGCTTCCGAGCGACGACATGGCACCAGGAACTGAAATCAGCCCGTGAAATTCCTGGACTACGATTCCATATACAATCACACCCACCAGCAGCCACGGCCATGCATGGTTCGCCCCGGGCTCGTTCACTTCTTCCACGGCGCGGCCCTAATAGACGTCCAACAGCTCCTGCTCCCCCACGAACGTCATCTTTTGACGGTCGAACATGTCCATGACTCGCAGCGCCATCTCCACGCTCTTCTTCTGGATCACTGGATGGATGCGGACGGCGCCAGGATCGAGTCCAAGAGCGAGCGCCGTCTCCGAACTCGGCAAGGCCGTGGATGAGGGCCGAGAACATCATCAGCTTCCCGACGCCCTTCCCCAAGAGACCTGCAAGAGTGTCGGGGTGCACTTGTGAGGCCGTTTTCTGGCCCCTACCCTGTCACCTCATTTTATCACCGATTCCATCTTCCAAAAGAAGATCGTGTGCAAGCTCTGGCTACACAACGAGCTGTCCGGGTGAGCAGAATGGAGATGTCAACGACGGGTCTCACGAACTTTTGCAGGAACTCAAACCTTTTCGTCCGGCATGAATCAACAACCACGTAAAAATCACCAGAAGGCTTTGCACGTTGCTACAAACGCAACCAGGACACTTAGCCAACGCCAGCGGACACCACTCTCCCAAGCATAGAACCTGTACGTGTGCACAGGGGCGCCTACAATGAGAGACCAACCGCTTTCAATCTCAGTCGCTGTCGACCACAAGTCATGGATGCCAGTGATTGATCACTCAAACTGTTGCTCAACCCCATCTTCTCGCACAGCGTAGAAGCAGTGTTGAAGCGCCGGAACTGCTGGTCCAGCAGCACGAACGCGTCGTCACTCAGGGTGTAGAACGCCGTGATCGCCTGGCCCAGCGCTTCACTCCCTAGAATCTCCATCCTGTGGTGGCAGCTATAGATGTTGGACAGCACCTGCAAATAAGAGCACAACAAACGAGGTCAGATCGCTGCTTTCTGGGGTTGGGCGAATGATGTACATGCGAAAGAGGTAACAAATTAAGGTCTTAGTGCTTCACAGCAGACCTGCGGCGCCACACTGCTTTTTGCATGGTTGCTTTCATGCTCGAGAGCTCCATTCCAATCCAAGAGCAGGTTATGCTCTGCTCAGAAGCACCTCACCAATACAAATTACAAAACTATGTTTTCACGAGGCACCGTCTTTTCATAAGAAAGATGCTGACAATATTATTGGCCACAACGTCTCCAAGATCGAACACAGGTGACACTTTCCCATCACCGCACATGCCATCCGCAAAGACAACGGACACATGAACAACATTTTGAGAACGATTCCAAAGGAATCCTGAGAACAAACCACCTGTGATGCTTTGGGTTGAAACACCAAGGTGCTACATAAGAATTAATGATCAGCCTTGGGAGGGAGATGGCCATGCAGATCCCGACTAAACAAACACAAACCATTCACCACCACAACAGCCTCACATCAATCAGGTACTCCTTGGCTGCAAAGCGCACAGGCTCCTCTTCCTCGCCACCTTCGTCGCCCGCTGGCTGGGAGTCGCTCTCCGGTAGCCCTTGCCGCGCTTGCACCCATGCCAACTTCTCGGCCTCAGACCACTGACCTGGCGCTCTTTCCGAGCTGCCATTCTCCGCTGATGACGACGGCCCTGTCGCTTCCGCATTTTGTGCCCGCATGCCACGCAACTGGGTGCCCGAGAAGACAAGCTGCTCATCACTGACTGGCCTAGCAGGGACTTCGGGGCCGCGGTTTACAGCTTTCCGTCTTGGCAGCGTCTCAGTGCGCAGCTCAGAAAGACTCTCGACCTGCAGCCTGCGCGGCGCCGTCATCTCAAACCGTCCAGACAGTCCCATCGCTACGTTTGCTCATTTGTGAGGAAACTGAGCGCGATATCTGGCTGGATGCCTCCGCAGAGTGCCACGGCTGTGCGCTTCAGGACGTGCTGCGGCTCCATTTCATTGCTGCCTCTGACACCGTTCGGCCATCCCCCACCATCCTTCATGTCGAGAAGAAGCGTGTGCTCCTGCTTGGACCCCGCCTTGGTGTGCAGATCTAAGTTTTCAATCTAAGCCCAATATCTGGCGCACAAAGAAACTTCTCGGGGTTCACACTCCGCGTCAGGTCGTCGTACAAGTGGTTCAAGGTCTTCTGCAGGGGCAGGACACACCATCGTCAGGATGCAAGAACAACCAACTCTTCAATCACACAGCATGCCGAGCTGCATATAAGCAAGGCCAGCGCCAGCAGACATGAGTACCTACAGTCAGAGAGACCAAAACCACTGAACAAGACCTCCCAAATTTTTGCATTCTTATGATGTCATAGCTGCATCTACTTGCAAAAGAATCAAATCAGTGAAAGATTCTAAGATGACGACAACAGTTACCAGAATGTTGCCCCAAACATTTCGAGCTCGCAGAAAGAATAGGATTCAAAACCTCCACAGGTCAGTAAGCTGGTTGACACTGCATCTGAGCACACTGAACGGCGTCGGGAGTTGTAAAAACTTGCGCTCGACCAAAAGAAGTTCAACTTCACGGCGTGCATCGTCTTTCCCTCAGCCCGCTCCTCGACCCCCTCCATGATCTCATTCAAAGCCTTGATCAGCGGGCTCTTGTTTGTGCCACTTGGGGAAACAAGAATGTGCCAATGTCTCAAGACCTGCGTCCAATCGATCATCCGGTCGGCCAACGTCACTTCTGACTTGTATCCAAAGCAGTGTGAGACCGCAGTCAGGAACATTCCAATCAGAGCAATGCCTGTTGAGCCCTTTGATCTGGCTACTGCTTCTACACACTCTCCAACCTTGGCAGGCAGCATCGATCTGACATCATCTGGGAGAAGGTCCCTGGCAGCCTCGAGGCGCTTCCCCAGTTCCTTTCCTTTGCGGATCGCCATGCTCCTTGTATATGTGTAGCTTGGGTTACCAAAAGATCCTGAAAGCGTCTAAAGAGGAAACTTTTAAAAAACCCCCCCTCAACAAAAGCAAGTTGTACGACTGAGAAATGGCTCCCCAGCGCCTGCAAAAGCAACACTGGCAGCAGCAAGTCAATTGAGTTGCATCACATGACTTCTCAGATGTGTTGTCCCATTTCACGAGGCAAATGGGAAATTGGAGGTCAACAATCGCCCCGGTTGGCCGGCAGAATGAGGGGTTTTCCTAGGCCACCAAAGCCCGGTTGGCCTCAACAAAAGTACCGGTACCAGCAAGGCAAGCGGTACCGGCCAAACGCGTATGGTGCAGGCTGCGATACCGGGCAAGCGCGGATGGTGCGGCGGCTGCGGTACGTGCAAGCACGGATCGTGCCGGGTACAGGCTGTGGTACCGGCTCTGACCGGTACAGTGCCTGGAGGCCACCCCACGTTCAGTTCGATCAAGAATAATTCTCAAGAAAGAAAATAGTAAGCCAAGATAATAGTAAGCTCCGACTAACACTAAAAACCCTAACCTTAGAAGAAACACTCGCTCCGCACCCGTACCCACCCTAACCACCATACTAACCCTACCCGTCACAGTGCGGTTACCTTACTATTATCTGGGCTTACTATTATTTTCCTTGAGTTTCATCGATCAAGATATACCCTACGACCAGCCAAAGGATACCAACATATGTTCCATGCGCGTCTGCCTCAACCAGCCCAGGCCACATGCCGGTTATCTGAGGAAAAAATGGCTAGGCCGTTATACAAAACAGTCTCGTGAGTCGGGATAAGTTTCAATATAATCCAAGAAAAGGGTGTTTTAAACCGGATGTAAGACCCTCAAACCCTAAGCAAGCGTTTCGATTGAACCCTAAAACATTCAATGATACTCACAAACCATGACGAACCACAAAAGCTTGCAAACCCCAAGTACAAGTTGGCAGCTAACTCCCAGTCATGGTTACAGCTAACATCTATTGCCTGACCCACACTGAAACCCTAAGGGCAAAAAGCAACATGCTCCGCACCCCAACCCACCCTAACCCCCATTCCAACCCCACCCGTCCCAGTAACAAGTCGGTTGCAACTGGCATATGGCCTGACCCACACTGAAACCCTAAAGGTACAAAGCAACATGCTCCGCACCCCAACCCACCCTAACCCCCCATACCAACCCCACCCGTCCCAGTAACGGGTCGGTTGCAGCTGCATATATGGCCTGCATGATTGACACTGAAACCCTAAAGGCACAGATTAACATGCTTCGCACCCCAACCCAAGGACGGGGCGGTTGCGTTTGCGTACCCAAGTCATGCAGCATATGCTTATACACACTAATATGAATAATGAACGTGAAGGCGGCAAGCAACAAGCTCCGCACATGTGCACCAATCATTTAACCAACCCATATTTCCATCCATCCATCATCCTTTGCCGAAGTCATTCTTTCAAAATGATTGCAAAGTCACTTTGCATGCTATGTATTCTATTTCCAGTCATATTATGATAGGTTTGTATGCAAGTTTGTTACATTCAACGGCACCGTTTTTAAGGGGAACTGCACAGTCTAGCGCAGTATTAGCTGGGATCGTCTAGAGGATTCCGCCAGAATCAAAGACCTGTTCAACACGATACAAGGGCCGGACGCACAATATCACCTCAACCTACAAGCAGGCCTCTACTACTACCGGTGGGCCACAACGCACTAGTCACACTATATTTGCTCCAGGTGCTACAAATATTAGCACAACTCACAAAGCTATCCGCGTGACTGCGCGCCCATAACGAGCCGTGCTCGCTACAATCGTGGGACCTTCGAATTGCCCGCGTTCAGTATGCTGCACTTCTGCTTCTGACTTGGGAGCGGCACCACCACCGGCGGTTGGCAACAGGCCGTCCGACTGGACGTCCTCTCCGCTGCAGTAAAAAATGAATTTCATCGAGCCGATCATCAGACACCGTAACTTCCAGATTATGCATGCTCGGGTCCAACAAGAGTGCGGAATACTGAACTGGACTTATTGGCAAACGTACAATCTTACAAGCCAGTAGAAAAGGAAAGTTCGACGAGTTGTAAAGACAGAAAAGCAGATCGTGCTCGGCACCTGTTGATGTATTGGCCCACAATCAATTGCGAAACGACACAAGCGCAAGCGGATTACTAAACATACGCACCACGTCTCATCGTCGGTGTGCAGCTCCTCCTGCGTCCCCTCCTCCACAATCTGCTCGTTCACCGCCCCTATCCCTAGGTCACGCACCCCGAGCTCGCAGATCCGCCTGTACACCGCCTTGATGTCCCGGCTCCGGACATGACCCTCGCTGATCCACCGCGCAACTGCAACACACACGTCCACAAGGAGACGATTCAAACGAGTGTCGAACTCACAATATGGACAGCGCACGGAGGGGTTCGAAACATCGAACTACTCCCAACCCTCGTTCATTCCTAGACCTGTTGACAGGGCGACTCAAATCAAGTTCAGCGCCAGACTTCCATATATGGCGTCCCTTCAAAAGCTACGCCACACACTAGAATGCCAAATCACCTAGTATAACCTACCTGAGCCCCACTCCCCGACCACGGACGGATCCTTCGCATACTGTTTCAAACACCCCGGTACCACGCCCTCCTCCTCCGTCCAACGTGAGTGCTGCATCGCCCGCAGTCTATACCCAAGCTGCAGTAGGTCGGAGAGACCGACACGCGCGGGGAACACACCCTTCATCACCAGCATGTAGTCGCAGCGCACCGCCAGACCACCTACACAAGGTGAGAGTCGAATCTCAAGAGCATCCCTTGAAATTGACGTACTGCGTGCTTTGATGTTTCATAACGAGCAACTGCCCCCGATTTCCGTAAAAAGTTCCTGGGTGTGCCGATCCTGGGATGCATACATTTGCAACCCATTAGACCATCTCCAAGAAACGTACGCATGCAAGTATCCCACCTTGTGAGGCCCTCTTCAACAGCTCCCGCGTGGCTTGGCGAAGACTGGTCGCGAGGGCCACCAGCGCACGGTCCCCGTGGGAGTACTTCGTCCCCCAATGCCCGACCAACTGCGCCAGGATGCCGCTGTTCACCGCTATGGCCACCGTGTCTAGTCGCGCCTGCGCAAGGTGTATGAAACTTTGTTTCAGAAACTACCACCACGCTGCCGACCTTCCCATCCCAGCGTTGCAGTCATCCTGAGACTTTGAAACAAGAACCCCTGACATCAACGTAAGCATTGACAGGACTGGAAGAAGCATGCGCCGTACCTGTGCAAGCTCGAAGGATTTCCAGCCCTTCCCAGCATCCTTGGAATTGATCACCGAGTGGAGCGACTCGTTTGCGATTGTATCGCGAAAGAATCTGAACAATTTCTGATTCGCCAACAAGGCGTTGAGGACCAGCGGTTCGGCGAAGTTTTTGAATGCGTGATCGATCTCCCTGCAAAAGGAATCGTTCCAACAAGGATCAAATCCTCCTTCACAAATCCACACTGCTAGAACAACACGCACTTTGTAAACTCGAGCCAACAAGAGGGAGGCAGGGGACGAGGACGCAACACTTCTCGCACACGGAGAAACTGTCCGCAGTCTGCTCTATACAGATTTCTCTGAGTAACGATCTTACATGCGGTCGCAGATGCCCCGTGCTGCGTTGGCCATTGCCTCGGCAGCCCCCATCACACGGCGCGAGGAGGAAGCCGAAAGCGGCGGCTCCGGCCGAAGCTGCTCCCCACTGTAGAGAACCCCGAGCCGCGCCGCGACGCTCTGGAAGGCAGTCGATGAAGAAGCGCGGGCCTGCACAGGGAACGAGACAAGCTCGATAGAAATAGGGAGAAATCCGGGCTTGCAGTCCGGGCAGGGTCTCGAGAAAGGAACTGGCGTGCGTGACTTTTACACAGCTGTACAAGCCGTCATTTTGTACTTACCTTAGAGTAGAAGGCGAGCACCGCCGCCACGTTGTAAACGAGGTCGGCCTGGCAGCTGTAGCCAACGACGGGGTAGTACGCATCCACGTCGCTTGGCTTGAGACGCAACTTCACGCACAAGCGGCGGAGGGTTGCGAGAGCGCAGCGCTGCACGGTGCTAGGAGAGAAGCGGCTCCGCAGCTGGACACCGTCCGGGAGGACATGATCTTGTAGGCAAAGCCGCTGTCCACATTCAACAGGAGTGACCAATCGATGCCTTTCCAACATCGAAACACAGGGGGCTTGCAGCAATGAAAGACGCACTAAACCCCAAAATCAACTTACAACAAGGCCCTCACCCCTACCGACAGAGGTGTGCGAACAGCGCTCACGTGCATGAACAGTTGCCCAACAAAGACTCACCCATGCGGTGCTGACCTCCATACGTCCGCTGTGGATGAGGGCCGTCGAGAACCGTAACTGAAAGCAAGAAGAGAAAGGTTGGTGAATCAGGTTTCGCAGGCAAACCCAAAAAAAGGCCACTCTGATCAGGTCGGCCTCGCACCAACAATTAGCGACAACGAGGTTTCGAACAGGTCTGAGTAATTGTTTCCTTCAAAGAGCGCCTTCAAAGAGCGCTGAAGAACAGACACGTGTCGCTCCTACCTCGGAAGTGTGCAGGCTCTCGCCCTGGAAGGCCCGCTCCAGTACGGCCGCAATTTCAACAGGGCTCCGGCACGTCGAGGGAGCCTCGACCACAACGTTCTCGGGGGAGAGAGGCCGAAGGTCGGAGTCCCCCAGGGTTGGGCGGGGGCTGGCGGACGTGGGGTCCGGCCGGGAGAGACGACCGCTGAAGCACAGCTCCAAGTCGTACTTTACAGCCGAGTAGTCCCCATGGCCCTTCTCAAGCTTCCGCGAGAACGCCCACTCGCGATGCTTGATAATCTGCAGGGAGTGCTGGTCAGGCAACCCTTTAGAAACGGATTTTGCTGGACAGCTTGGCCACGTGTACAACGGCAAAGTTGCGGGCCCGTGCCAAAGTTTAACCAGGCTTCCGAAATATATCGAGCTAGGCATCCACATCAAAGCAGATCCGAGACTAGAAAACGGTTCAACACAACCAATTGCGAATAGAGCTACTCAGTCAAGTACTTTGAACGGGGAAGCGCAGGGCTGAGCAGAACGAGACCGTTGAAAATCGAAATTCGAGCAAGAAACGGTTAGCCGATGCGACCACGCACCTCGGCGACAACAAAGTCCGCCTCGGAGATAGTGGGGAAAATCTCCTTAAGCAACCGGCGGATGAAAACGTGGTCCCGCTTGATGGAGTCAGTGACCAGCAGGGGCGGTGGTGCGCTAGGTCCCTGCGTCTCCGCGCGGTACCGCAGGACCTTGGTAATCTGCAGATGCACTCATAGCTTAAATCGAGTTTTCTTTTAAAGGTTCACGTGCAGCATGCGTACTTGCAGACATCAACACTCGTCTGGGTGACCGAAACGTTTTGGGAATGCTCTGGAAAACCGACTCAAGGCTCTGGATATAAGACCATAGCTCACCACGCTCTCAAGCGCCTGATGGCTCCCGTGAGGCACCAGAATGGGCGACTCGAGCGCCAGCCCAGCAGCGCCTGCAATGACCCGAAAGTGACAGTGAAAAACCATAATAAAACACCTTTGGGACTTGTAAGATGTTGCAGGGCTTGCAGCCAACGTACCAGACGCCTCACATGAGACGCAATTGTAGGTAAGAAAACCAAATGTCACAATCATTGGCCGGAGAGCGAACGCACGTACCTGTGACGGTAACGAACGCAGCGGGAACCGAGCTGACTGCGCCATGGTTGCACACGATCGCCCCTTCCGCAGTCGTCTCCTCCACAACGGCCCCGTCCAGCTTGATCATGACCCCATTAGCTGCCGTATAAGAAACATCCCACGCCACCTTTTGTGTGCAAAGCAGTCAAGGAAGAGACGGTTTGGAAGCGGATGCAACCAAGACCACAAGAGCGCAGTGAAGAGATATATGCAGGCAAAGGGGAGTGTGCCGTTGGAGGATATCCGTCATAGGAGACAATCTCCTTGTAGTAGTTGGCCAGGTTGGGGCGGACGAGCTTCTCGTGCCAGAGAAGAAACATGTTGGTCACTGTCTCAGTTGATGGCAGCATACGATTGAGCGCGTCCAGCAGGCGGTCATCGTTGGGGGCAAATGAGGTCAATGCCTCCCTCATGATAACCTGGAAGCCAATGAACGCTGCAATGAGCTGCAAGACAAGACATTCGCAGCAATCTCGGACCGGCACAGACCAGATGTGGAGAGCACGAAGGGGCTTGCAGAGGTGCGTGCACGACAGATGCAGAAAAGGGCCAGAAAAGGGCCAGCCACAACAACGTCAGGTTGTCACCTCTTGTAGAGCCTAAAGCTGGTTCACGGACCAGAGCTGAAATAGGTTCCTGATAGCCTGGGATCAAAGATGACAAAACAAAGCTTCAGCGCGCGGGCTCACAATACCATGGACCACAAGCTTTCCTGTATTTAACATTGGGAATTGCCATCTAACACATTGGACGTCACTCACACACCTTGATTCAATCGCACAAGCACAGTCAGTCCTCTAGATACCTGCCGCCACTGAACTTGCATCAACACCGCACTGGTCATTGAAGTCCTGGGCACAGGGGCCTGAGGACTCACGGCTTGCACATTCTAGTTGTCGCAAATATGTTGTCGCAGCAGCATGGCGGCAGCTTCACTGAAGTACACATCGCCCACGGGAAGAAGGTTCGGGCGGTAAGTTGTGCCAGGGGGACGGTCGGTGCGTGCCAGAGCTGGATGGTCACACGTGAATCGGGACGCCTTGCCTGCATGCAAGATACCAGGCAACTCAAAATCACACTGCAAACGTGAGGACCAGTACACTTTGCACAATCTGACAGCAGTAGCAAGTTAGCATGACAATATGGACCCTCAAGCAGAAGCAACGCAATACCAAGACAATTCGAGACTGAGGACAGTTCTGTTACCAGTTGCATAGCAGCTGTACTCATCGACCTTCAACCTCTTGGGACGGTCGACATCGATCGGATAGCGCTCTAAACAGCGTACGCCGGAACTGGACAGCGCAAGCAACACCAGGGTGCTCCTCAAAGCGAGGGCAGCGCGCTGGTATATAGCGCTGCCCATCCACTCCAACCAGCTGCAAGTGCACGACAGGAAGCAGCATGGGGGATGCAGCTCGCTGTAGGGGCATGAGCTCTGTCCCGGCAGATGGCGTGTGCTGCGCCATGCTTTCGACGAGTTCATCAACAAGGGACCGCGCCTGCAAAATGAAGGTGACACTTAAGATTTCGCAGATATGTGTTTTGCAGGTGGTGAGAAGTTGTGAAGAAGAAAGATCAGCATTTCACAGCCGCAACACGCAACCAGAAACGAGCCAAAACAGTCGATTGATCGATATTCACACAAGAGAGAAACTCCAGGCCAACGAATCTGGCAAGCACGCAAGCATATAATACATCGGACGGCATTCAAGAGCAGAGTTCCCAATGCAGCACCTTCGCTGCAGCGGTATCCCGCATGTCGCCCTCCCGCTCCAGAGCCGCCAGCTCGTCTTCAGAGCGCAGGCGGTAGACGCCGCCAGACAGCTCAAAGAGTTGACCCCATTCGTCGATGCACGACAGTGGCTGGATGTCGATGGCTTCAGAAGACAGCTCCCACAACGCCGGCAAGGGTGCGTCCGCCCGAAGGCCCCTGTCATAGAAGCGGCGGTCATTGATAGGCACCAAGTCATGGACCTTGAGAGCAGGCTCGTCGGTCTCGCGCTCTTGAGCCTCTTGGAGAGATGCAGGGCCGCAGCAGAGCGCGTTGAAGGGGGGGCCGTCAGCAGCGAGCATCCAAACGAAGTAGCCAGAGGGAGGGATCGTGGCAGCAGCGACAGATTCCTCGAAACGCCGGTAGAAGTTGGGAACATGCCGGAAGTTGCTGCAAGCAGCAACACGCATGTTTATCAACCAGTGAATCAATGAAAGCTACGCCCATAACAGACAGGTAGACGAACAGCAGAGCAGATCAAAGAGGAAACCGCAGTTGTTCAGCGCTTGTTGAGCTGCAGTCGCTACAAGCGAACAGGGGAACAATGCAGCTTTGCGTGTCTCACCATTGAACAGAGCGCATCGCCGCGCAACCGGGATCTGGCGACCAAGCTTGGCGCGCGCGCGCAGAAGCGAAGCAGGGTCCAAAGCTGCAGGAACCTGTCAAAAGACTTTGAAATCAGCAGCAGCAGTTGGTTTTGAAACCTTTTGCCAATCCTCACTCGCAACAGTCATCCCTGCTTCTGACAAGAATGTAGAACTCGTTCACATACGAGAGGGACTGCAATCCTCATGAACCATTGTGAACATTGTTTGCTAGGGACCAGGCCTTGAAACTGCTTACAGGCGCCGGCGCATTAGGCTCTTCTTGTGAAAGTTTGTTGTACTATAGCTGTTTTGCTGATGCCACACCCGGTGCTAACGTCTTAGTGTTGTGGTTGTCATCCCTCTTGGTAAGAGCTTTGAAAGTCTCTTGAACATGGGCCTCTGCAGAAACAAGAGCACAAATGACAAATCGCTTTTGTCCAAAGAACCCCAACACACACAACAATCAGAGCCAGTTGAAGGCAAATCCCAACCCTTGCATAAGCTAGCACCCCTTTAATCAGCAGAAACTCCTGTTTTCAAACATGAGAGCCCCAATTATCCTGACGAATTAGAACATTCCAGATCGCGCGCTTACCTGCGCGCTGTGCTTCCTGTTTGTGCGAGTTAAGATGACCAGACAGTTTATCTTTCTTTGCGACGCCAAATCCACAGCGAGAAGCGGTGCAGTGCCAGTGCTTTTTTATAGTAGTGCCGTCCGTCTTAGCAAACTTGCAGCCAGCATAGCTGCAGCTTCCCTCTTTGCGAGTGAGAATGTACCCGTCTGCAGAAATAACTTTCAACAAAACTCAGAACCCGAGCACAGCAATCTGATGCATATGTTAACCGACCGACAGCGTATCTGATACATCTGAAGCTAGCAAATGCAGGATTTGACTTCAGAAAGAGAACGCGAGGATATAAGGACGTAAGCTCACCGATAAAGTCCTTTTCACACACTGCCCCATGTGACTTTGCATTAGAGATCCTTTCAGATTGATGCTGATTGCAGACTAAGCAATGAAAGTGACGCTTGCTGGAGATGTATGACCCCAGTATGCAGAATTTGCAGCCCCCAACTGTGCATGGCTGCCCCGCTTCTACAACACGCCAATTTTCTTTGAAGATCTTGTCCCTCGCAGCTAGAGCTTTGCTGACCACATTGGCTGCTGATCAAGGGGACGATGCCTTATGTTTAGTCACGTCCGTGTCAAATGCCGCATTGCCATCAGCAGAGATATGCTTACTCAGATTGACCGGCATCACAGGGTCAACATTCTCCTTCCCAGCGGTTTCTACAGGGACCTTTTTGCGAGAGGGCATGTCTATGTTAAAACAGTGGCCACCATCCTGCTCGAGTCCCTCAGAAGCACGCTTCTTTCCTAGGCTACTGGCCGCAGCCATTTCATTTAGGCTTCTACGAGATTGTGCTTCCCTTAAAGGCAGATTCTGAAGATGAGACGCGTCTGCTTTATCATCATCTCAAAAGGCCTCTCACAAGGTTCCCAACTTTTCCACCACTAGGTCTAGTAGCTCACTTGGAGACAAGTTGCAGCTGACAACGGATGCAGCTCAAGAAGCCAGCAGAAAAGCATGACCAATGCAACCAATGCAGTGCAATGCAGCTGGTAAATGCAACGTTCTATCCATGTAGAGAACAACTGGTTGAGCGTTCTGCTGCTTCTGCATCCGTTTCCAAGTTCTGCCGCATGCACTCGAGCTGCAGTCTGCAGCGTTCAGTCTGGCTGGCGCGGTTCCGCACGATTACACGCGACCGAAGGCCGGAATCCGCGTTCGCAGACCGGAAACTTAAAATTTCCTCTGTGGTCAAGATTACCGGGCCCCTACATTGGCGGCTGAGCGGAGAGACTCCGAGGAAGGCGGGCGCAACGCAAGCGAGCCGGAGAAAGGAGAAGAGAGCGGAAAAAGCGGGCAATTGGAGGAGGAGGAGGCGGACGGCGAGGAAGGATTGGAAGACTACGATTCCGAAAATAACGCCGGGTCGGTGGATGTGACTGTTAGAAGT